ATAAAATTGACTAGTACACATTAAATATTTTTCTTTGTTACAAAATGATAACATTCATAATTGGTAAAATTATTGATCAATAGCAATATTAGAACATAATTTTTTTTACCTGAACACCTTTAATGGAAGCCAGAACCAACACAGTTCTATCTGGTAAAATACACCACTTGGCCTAGAGAACATCRTCAAAGAAGGTCATTATCAATTGATCAATGATGTTATTGTGCTTCATAAAAACATATTATGATTTCTGACAATGTCCTGTTGCCAACATAAAAGAAATTTTCATTATCATCACTTTAAATGAAGAACATCACTCAGGCACAACGAACTAACCWACAAGATATCAAAAATAATTGGCTAGCAGGTTATTTACTTATGTGTAGGTTGYAGTGATGGTGAAAATAAACTATAGCTGGTTACCAATCGGATTTCAGAGTGTGATTACAATGTACAATAATAATAATAATTTAATTCTGGAAATCTCATTATAATTTATGATATCAAATGCTTTTTTTACAATAAATCATAAACAATACATAAATACTTATATATAATATACCAGGAACAGTCGTCGAGGATAACTTTTCTAACTTAGTTGACTTCCCTATTCCACAGTAAGACCAAAACACCTCTACTTCACGTTCATTTGGACAATATGTTTCATAACATGATCAGAATTTTAATAATACAATTATACAAGTCTTTGTTTTCGTGATTGAATTTGATGTAAGCGTTTTTCTATGAATAGAGGATTTAAATTACTAGCTTGTGTTGGGTATGTTGTCTACCTTTCGCATGAACAAGTATGCCCAACACTGAATCGCAACTGCATCGCAACAGTTACCAAGGTGAACCATCGTCAATACAATYGTCCGGCAATTGCATGATAGATACAATATACAAAGCCAAATCAAAATCATGTGCTTTCATTAATGAACTAAGTACCTGTTGTACAGCAGAGCTACTGTGTGCTCCTTCTCCCTTACAAGATATTTGTTTTATTGAAGGTACTCCTCCACCTTTCGCAACGTTCGATAGACAAACAAGAGCTTTGTGAACAACGGCAAACGAGGTTGATTCCTTCTCTTTAGGCTTGAGGATAGCTAAATTATTGCACAAAAGCGAGGCACTGCCTTTTAACGAAACTGGGGCATCTTTAACATACATGATTGTGGTGGTAAATTAGTGAATYTCAAAAAAATGCACAAAATAATTGTTGCAGGTGGTTGAAAGATGGCGGCGTTTCACTTGATACCACAGGGATCCCGGAATCATTCSCACGAATCAGGATGGACAGGGATCCCATAAAGGCTCCGGACGCGAATGAGGCTTTAAATCGTCAAGTTTTCTCTGCGCACCTCAGACCTGAGCATGTATTGAACCTACTCATGAAGCCCATTGAAAAAAGCAAACAAACAAAAACTTACTACACTCGGCCGTATAATGAATACAGGGTCTTTGGTTATACCTTGTTGGTACTAATTTTCGCAAAGGAGTCATTAGCGAGTATTCAATCTCGCGAAATCGAAACAAGCGTATTTCTCGGGCATTATTTTTCGCCAAGTAATTGCTCTAAATATATGAGCGATGTTATTGTAAAAGGTACTTAAGCTGTTAAGGTCCCTTTTGCTCATATGGTAATTTTTGCGTATTTTTTTTCGCGATTTTTTCACAATTCGTCGGAATTCGCGAAAGTAAAGACTCGCATGCAAAAATTAATACGACTAAGGTATCTAATTATAATCCAAATATAAGTATAATTGGRTTAATTCAGAGCAACACTGAAGATTCCTGGATATTTAGAATGGYACACGACAATCTGAGGTGATTGGGCAGGCGCTGCACTGAACCTCAAGAGATGTTAGTTTCCCTGTACTGGCTATTAAAGTTTGATGCAATTTAGCATGTCTAGACATCCGCGATTTGGAAAATTCGCCGCCGTAGCAGCTAAGACACGTCTTGCTATCTTAATAGTGCAACATTAAAACCATAAAAAAAACATGAAAAACTCAATTTTAGTCTGACTGATGGAGTAGCTTAACAATAAGAAATTATATATTTTATAAGTAATATACGACGCCATTTTGTACAGCAATGCATGGTGGGAGCTGCAGCCCTCCAAAAATGGAATTTTATATATTCTCTCAGAAAATACAACTTCAATATATCATGTTTTGATATATGTCATGTAGATTTTTCATCTACATTTTATTTGATATGCAGTCATGGACGCTTTGTCTGGGGGAAAGCAGTAATTTTAATTTAAAAAAATCGTTTTAAATCTAATAATTTCTATTAGTTGAATTAAGTGCTTTTAGAAAAAAATTGTAAATTCTTAATTGATTTTAGCAAAAATGTGGTTTAKTACTACCAGCATGCCTCCCGCTGCTAACGTTTTTGAAGCATTTTTAATGAAGATGTTACAAGGCTTCAAATCAGTGATGAGTCAGTATGACGGTTTTACAGGCGATAACTGTATTTGCTTGGATTTCACTTTTTCACACAGGTAAGAGAAATCGATCCCACAACGAGTACTTCTCTGAGTCACTAACATCTATGACTAGAAAAAACTGAATTTCTGAAAAGAGAAATGAATGTTCCTTATCAACAACGACTGATACATTCCAGCAATCTAAAGACGGGATAATTTCTACTCTTCGGTCAACTACAAGACGATCTTCTGAGAACGAAATGTGCACTTATAACTTTATGACTAATTCACGAGTCTAGKTCTGTGGAAGTACTTTGTCAGATATGTATGTTATTTACCGGCTGGGAGGTCCGTATAGGAAAACACTGCCCGAGGTATTGACAGTACGGTACGAGCGCAGCGAGGTCCGTACAGTAAAAGACCGAGGGCAGTGTTTTCCTATACGGACCGACCTATAGCCGGTAAATAACATTTTTATTTTGTTTTTATTTGTATTTTATACAACTTTGCTCGCAGCCTAGCTGCAGGATACCGTGGACCGGGCACATCGTGAAAAACCCGACCGCGCGGATTCTTTAGTATTCTTTCTGTCCAACGCACACCGGGATACATCGATTTTTACTCCAGTTTCGAATTCTCATGCAAGGTTAGCTTCAATCAAGCATATAAATGTTTATTGTCTTCTTTGTACACAGAGTGTTTGCATTACAATAGGATYTCTGCTGAATAAAAGAATACATTACATGCTTTCGAGGTTAAGGCTGCACAAAATAAGATCTCGAAACTGGAGTATTGACATATTAAAATATGGAAATCTACAGTCAATTAGCAAATCATTTTTTGTAGGTGTGATATTATAGATCCAAGAAATAACGATGTTTTTACTCTTTTTCTAGAATCCGTTTATGGAGAAGTGGCAACTTGGCAATTGGAATGCCTCAAGATRCACAATACCTATCGTGCTAAACATCAAGTAAGAACAACATCTTAAGGCTGATTTACACGGCACGATTGTCTCGTGCGATTTGTAGTATACGACTTGAATCGTGCAGTGTAAATGCCCCTAGGACTTGTCTACAACAGACGTACGCAACCTACGACTTGTAGTAGGGTTTTGAACCACTGCTTAAAATCCTACGACTTGTAGTAGGAAAATCGTATACTACAAGTCGCGCGCGACAAATCGTACCGTATAAATCAGCCTTTAGCTATAGCCTCCATAGTCAGCAAAATGACCTTCTTGGGATCCCTGTGGACGAGCTGTGCAGGCTGCATTAGCCATATCAATCTCGTTCCAGAGCCCGCGTTCCTCTTGGCCTGAGGGCGCGAGCAATCACGAACTCTGGACTAATCCATGTTTTTCATCAGATTTTCTGGTGTTCCGGTTAAATTGCGCATGCGTGTCAAAAAGAAAAATGGCGGAAAATTTGTTTTATAGTTCGCTAGACCACTCTTCGACTAGTTTCCAAACAAATCTACTTTGTAGCGATCTAAAAGTTTATTGCTAAGTCTACAATTATTATAAACTTGCTGCGTCGGCGCTTCTTCGGAGAAGACATTACTACACTCTGTTGCTACACTTTACAATTAATTTTTGTTTACAATTTTGCAACATCTTAATTGGGGCTAGGACTCCTCGTCGCGCTCGCGCCCGAATTTTGGCGCTGTTTTTCGCAACTATATGATTGGTCAAATTTTACTTCCGGAGACGTCCGCATTTGTAATGAGGAAATTCTATCGACCAATGAAAAGCGCGCAAAATATGGATTAGGCCAGAGTTCGTGGTTGCTCGCGCCCTCAGGCCAAGAGGAACGCGGGCTCTGGAACGAGATTGTAGCCATATAAATCCTTCACCCTGTATAGTGTCATCACTATGGATATCTTTCATTTTACTGGGCGTGTGATTTGCTTACAGATCGTTGACTGTTAGTATAGTGAGAAATGATGCTTTCTTTTACCACTTGAATCTATCTAGACAGGCAATTTGACGTGGTCTGACAGTCTTCAACAGGAAGCTCAAACATGGGCAAACTATCTTGGAGACTGGAATCTTGCATCTCGCAGTGAAATTGGTGAAAGCTTGTATTTGACCAGTGACATGCAACTGCCAACTTGCGGAGATATTGTGACGTCGTTTTACAAGGAAATCAATAGATATAACTACAATAACCCTGGACTATCTAAAGATACTGAACGATTTTCACAGGTAAAAAACACTTTTGTTGTCATTATCATAATCATAAAAGCAATCATGAATAATTGTTGCGATCATACTCGGCGTTAGTTATCTACAAAGCGTCCAACCAATRCTCAAGTCAACTGTAAGAACTTTGGACTTGCTTGTTGTCGGCATACCAGCCAATTCTTATATATCAATCGCTCATMGATTTTTACCATCCTTAAATTACACAATGTGTTGTCGCCTGTGTTAAAAATGGAGTATGTTTGTTTAAGARCAGATATCGTTACAAACTAAAGTCATTGCCATCCCCCTACACCAATAGTACAATATGCAATGTTGATAAAGGATCCAGGTCATCACCTAACAAGAGGCAAAACTGGATCGGGGGCGGGGGGGGCATTAAAGAGACAGGAGAAAAACGTTCCTTGACTGGGGAATTTTGACTAATTCACAACAAAGCAATTTTATCCCCGATTGTATCTCCAGCAATACCCCCGCCCTACTAACAGACTGATTGCGCTCCCCAAACTGATAGACTGATTCGGATAATGGGGAATTGAAAGGTATACAAGTGAATACTTGGACAATTGACCGGTTAGCTCAGTAGGTAGAGCATCGGACTTTAGTGCGGGAGGTCGCAGGTTCAAACCCCGGCCGGACCAACACTCAGGGTCTTAAAATAATTGAGGAGAAGTTGCTGCCTTTGTCTTTCTCCATCTGCAAATGGTAAGATCTTCTCGTCCTCTCGGATAACGACGTAAAATCGGAGGTCCCGTCTCTCTACACTTCACTCACTAACCTGTATTAGAGGGACGTTAAAGAACCCACACCACTGTTCGCATAAGAGTAGGGAATGATTCCCGGTGTGTGTGGCTAGGCCTTACTACTAACCCATACTAATTACTAACCCCTCATGATTGTAAGCCGCGTGGCTGCCAATTGCGCCTTAAACAGCGGTCCGTGTGAAATGATCTATACATGTGAAGCGCCTTTGAACTCAGAGGATATCGGCGCTATATAAATACCACATATTATTATTATTATTATTATTA